AGGGATTGAGGAATGGCCAACCCCCTGGAGATGATTTCTCACTCTCCCACCCCCATCTTTCTCTCTTTTATAGCAAAAACTAAAAAAAAGGAAAGAAAAAAAACAACAACAAAAAGCACAGTACGTATTTCCTATGCTCTGTGTATTATATACTGTGTTTTACAGTAAAGTAAGGGACACAAGAGATGTTATTAGGAAAGTCATAAGAAAGAGGGAATTTATCTACAGTATTTACTTCTAAAAAATATCCACATATACGTGGACAGTTCAAAACTGTGTTGTTTGGGACCAGTGGTTGGCGTAATGGTTATATTACTGGACTCCCACATAGTCAACCGCAGTTTGAGTCCCAGACCCGGTGGCTTACAACTCATGCCAGGCACGTGCGCATGTGTGCATGTGTGCCCAAAATCCCAAGAGGAGAATGGACCAGAAGGGACTGTGTGTGGACATCCAGCCCGGAGGGTGATTTCTCACTTTCTATCTCTCTTCGTCTCTCTAGTGAGTGCACGTGCCCTATAGCAAAAATCTCTAAAAAACAAAAACCAAAAAAACCCCATATTGTTTAAGTATTTGAAACTAGCAACACTTTAAAATAATGAAGACATTTAGTGTATGTAAGATTGTACAGGTGTTGGGGTCAGCAGGTGGTGTGGTGGTTGAAGCAGTGGCTGTCCACATGGTCGACTGTGGTTCAAGTCCTGGACTTGGTAGCTTAAAAATCATGCTATGCGCATGTGTGCATGTCCAAAATTTCAAGAGGAGAATGGAGGAGAAGGGACTGTGGCGTGGCCATCTGTCCTGGGGAGTGATTTTTTTACTTAACCTCTGTTTGTCTCTGTCTCTCTCTAGCAAACTCACATACTCTATAACAAAAACCTAAAAAAAAAAGAAGAAAGTTGTAGAAATGTTAACAATATATTGTTGATTGCAACATAAATAGATAAAATATTTTAGAAAGCAATTTGTAATAGGTCTCAAGGGTTATAAAAGAACATAGCCTATGAGCCTCATATTTGAGTCAAAATTGATGTTTGTTCTGTGTGAAAGAAGAAACTAAGCATGAAAATATGAATTTTAGCAGTATTTACAGTAGTGGAGAATTAGAAACAATCTAATAGTCTCATCATAGGGAAATGGTTAAATAAGTTATATAACATCAGTCCAGTAATCTTATACAACCATTAAAAATAATGATGGTAATGATTACGTAGTGATGTGAAAAAAGGTGAGACACCATTTTAAGTTTAAAAAAGACCATGTGGGTAGGACATAAAAAGAAACAGGCATAAGTGAGAACTCCGGCCGGAGTAATTTGTGGAAGTCCATCCTTGTTTTATTCGAGTATTTGCACTGAGCACAGACCTTGGAGAGAAGGGCTGCGTGCCCGGGGCAGGACACACTCCCCGCAGCGGTCCTGTGCTGGCCGTGCCTGCAGTGAAGGCCAAGAGCCGCTTCATGGCTCCCTGATGGCATCGGGTCAGAGGGCATCCAGGGCCCCAGCCCAGCATGAAATGCCGTGTTGTCCCCGGGGATGCAGGGGCCCAGGGCTCACTTTGGGGGACTCCTGGGGTCAAGCACCTTGTGCCACCCTCTCTCCGGTGTTTTCACACTGGGGAACTCAGGCTAAAATGGAATTTAATTCAGCAGTGAGTTCTGGGCGTCAGAAACTAGGTTCCAGCTACGGAAGGGGAGGTGTGTCACGAGACTTGGAAAGGACATTTTGGAGCCTTGCCTTGGTCTGTGCAGGCATTTGGGTGACAGTGCATGGTCAGGGGTCCCTTCAGAGTCAGTGGCCCGTGACCCTTTCCTCCCCTCATGGCGGTTGTTGGCGGAGGCTGGGGACGGGCGGCAGAGGTGGTTTCCGCGGAGGCCTCTGAAGAAGAGGAGCAGGAGGACCTGGGAGATGATGGGGTCACGGCTGAGGCGGCAAGAATGGGGTCTTGGGGGCTGGGGCATCCGGCTCTGTGGTCCTAGTCTGCGCAGTGGTCGTGAGAGGCTGTGCCGCAGGGTCCTCCTGCACTGTCCGAGGTCCAGGGCTCAGGCCCTCCAGGTGGTGACTCGCACACCGTCCGTCCTCCGAGCCTGCTGCTCCGGTGGGGGCTGCCGGTTCTACCACATTTCCCTCTGCGATCCTTCCCCACCTCCCACGTCCTCGATGAGCGGGGTGACTCAGCTCCTTCCCCTGCCCGCTCCTGGGGATGGAGCCACAGCCAGGAGCTGTCGTAGCCAGAATTCTTATCTCTTTCTCCTTTGCCACTGCAGAGCCGGCCATGCGGAGCTGCCACAGCAGGGCAGACTTTCCGGGCTGTAGACAACGCAGTGCCCATAGGCTCCACTAGAGGAACAGCCAGGCGTGGATTAATCTTGTAGGCCGCAAGGGGGACCTTGCAAGCCAGGGGCCACAGGCAGCACTGCCCCTAGATTGCCTTGCCAGTGGCATAGTCCCAGCGCCAGGAAACCCTGTCTCTGTGGCTGGTTGGTGTTAAGGGGATTTGCCTGATTTTGGGGGGCAGCTGGTGCACTCCCTCACCCTCGCTGGAGGGCCCACCCAGCCTTTCTGTGGGCTCCTCCTCTAGCCCGTCACCTGTGAGTGTGCCCCGTCGGTCCTCAGGGATGTGTGTCCTCCCTGGCCTCTAGCCTTGCCTCTGTGACCGAGGCTGGCAGTCCCTGGTTTGGGCTCGTACCCACCTCCTGGTTTTTCCTGAACTCAGTTTGTCCTGATAAAGCCGGAGCTGGTCAGAAGCTTGGTTGGAGAAGTGGCGGCCGTGCCCATGGGGGCCTTGCACATCTGTGAGGCTACCGTGTGTGGGGGTCCCCTCTCTGGCCCCCACCCTGCCATTGTCCCTCACTTCCGCCGTGCTGCCACTTCCTTCTCTGCTGTCAGTTTACAACCTCCTCTCTCCACGCCCTCTCCATCTCTCACCTCCTCTCGCTTTGGCTCCTTTGCATCCTTTGGGCTGTGCTGTCTCCCCTTGGCCCTGCCCCTGTGAGTCCCCACCTTACCCAGTGAGTAGTGAGTAGTGGTGGGACCATACCAGGTTCAAGCATCCACTGTTCATTGGTGTCCATGGTGCGTGTGCATGTGTGTGTGTGCAAGTGCGTGCATGCGTGCATGTGCACGTGTGTGTGGGGTGCAGAGGGTCACTGTGTACTGGGGGCAGCCTCAGTACCACAGGGTCCTCTAAAGGGCATGGAGAGCAGACACCCCCCCTCCCCCGGCCTATCCTTGGAGTTAGCCCGCCACGTGGGAATGTGTGCTGCTCCGTGTGCCTGGAGGGCCGGGACTGTGGACTCCCCAGGGCCGAGTCACGTCGCGAGGCTGGCCTACATGGCGTCTCTGGCTTTGCCTGCTGTAGACTCAGGGCCTCAGTGGGCCCAGCCCTTCTGGTCCATCAGGGCTTAGTGGGTGGTGTGTGCTCTTGGAGGTCGTGTGGGGCTTTGTGACACCGTGGAGCCCTCGTCCCCCTTCTGCACTGTGTGCACCCACGTGGGGTGTGTGATGTGACAGCGCTCGGGTGGACTCTCTTCTGACCCCTCGTGTGTGCTGAGACAGTGCTCGGGTGGACTCTCCTCTGACCCCTCGTGTGTGATGTGACAGTGCTCGGGTGGACTCTCCTCTGACACCTCGTGTGTGCTGAGACAGTGCTCGGGTGGACTCTCCTCTGACCCCTCGTGTGTGCTGAGACAGTGCTCGGGTGGACTCTCCTCTGACCCCTGGTGGGTGATGTGACGGCCCTCGGGTGGACTCTCCTCTGACCCCTCGTGTGTGATGTGACAGTGCTTGTGTGGACTCTCCTCTGACACCTCGTGTGTGATGTGACAGCGCTCGGGTGGACTCTCCTCTGATCCCTCGTGTGTGCTGTGACAGTGCTCGGGTGGACTCTCTTCTGACACCTCGTGCTTTTGATTGTGAGGGGCTCCTGGGTAAGGAAGGGTATTGTGCTCGGGTTTTCATAACCAAGTGCCAGGACTGGGGCTTCCACCCGAGAAACTGGCCGCTCTCAGCTCTGGAGGCCCGAGGCCCGAGGCTGGGTGTGGGGGTTGGTTTCCTGAGGGCCCTGAGGAGAGATCGTCCCAGGCTGCTCCTCTCTGTGCCTGTCTTATCCAGACTTCCTCGTTCTGTAAGGGCCGGCCATCCTGGATCAGGCCCACCCTGCAACTTAACGTTCACTCTGTTGCCTCTTTAAACCCTCTAGGGGCCAGCAGGTGGAGTGGTGGTTAAGGCACTGGACTCCCACAGGGCCGACTGCCATGGCCCAAGGGATTGCACGTGGCCATTTCCCTGGGGGGGAGGGGGCGATGTCTCACTTTCCCTCTCTCTGTCTCTCTGGCGAGCACACTTACCCTATGGTGAAAACCATTAAAACAAAAAAAAGATCCTGTCTCCAAAAGCAGTCAGTTCGCGGGCTTAGGGACGAGGTCTTCAGCAAACAGGATTTGAAAGGACACACCTCAGCTCGTCCGGTGACCGCCGAGTGAGGCTTGTCACTCTCACCCTCGTGCCTTCCCGGAGCTGCAGGGCCTGCCCTTTCAGTCTGGATTTCTGGCAGAGTCTTTGCCCGGGCATTTGAATCAGCTAAAATCCCTTCCGACATAATTTCTTCCTAACACGGAGGGACCCACCTCATGGACTGTGTTGTGGGGACGTGCCCCTGAGGGCCTGGCCCTGAGCTGTGCTGTTACCCCGTTTATAGGTGTGGGATCAGAGGACCAGAGAGCATGAATAATTTCTGGTCTCGCAATAAATAAGTGTCCAGAACTGGAATTTGATCACCCTCAAGTCTCGTCCTGTGGCCTCTGTGGATGTGAAGTGCCCGAGGCTGTGCCTGGCAGCTGGGAGGCCTTGGGGACAACTGTGCTGACCGTTCGGTGGTTGGGGGGGTGTCGGGGTCTGGCTGGGGTGGGATACTGGGCTCCCGGGGAAGGAAGCTGGTGACAGCATGTCCCAGAAGGGAGTCCAGGCGGAGGGGGGCTCCTGCGGGTCCCGGGCCCCGCAGGGTGATGTGAGAGAGCCCAGGAATGCCTTATGTGGACCGGCAGAACCGCATCTGTGGGTTCCTGGACATCGAGGAGAATGGAAACAGCGGCAAGTTTCTGCGGAGGTACTTCATCCTGGACACCCAGGCCAACTGTCTCCTCTGGTACATGGACAACCCCCAGGTGAGAGGCCGCTGGGGAGGGGAGGGAGCCCATGTGTGCACGCAGACACGCGTGTGTCTGGGGGGGCTCTCCAAAGCTCAGGGAAAAGGCACAGTATGCAGAGCCTGTGCATGGATCTCAGCTCTGTTAGACCCAGGGAAACCTGCACCTTCATTCCATTTTCCACGAGCTTTTGGAAGTCCCTATGTGTGGCGTACACACGTACAACATACATGCACAACACACGCAATGTACACATGTAACACACACAACATGCACCACACGTGCGGGTCCACACACACAGAACCACCTTGGGTCTTAGCTCGGAGAGGAAGCAGCTCCCTGAGCCGGGGGCCCTGGGCCATCGCAGGCAGGTGTCAGGCAGAGACTAGGCCGGGTCCAGGCTCAGGCCTGGCTTGTTTGCTGCTGCCTTTCTCAGGGCTGTGACCTGGTGGCAGGGCCTGCTCTTCCAGTCTGGGGCCCTCCCCAGCAGGGAGTGTGACCTGCTTCCCAGAGCTGGACGAATGCTGGGCTTCTGTGGTCTCCTGAGTCAGGAGGGCAGGATCCTGGGTGGGAGATCCAGGGGCCCTAGTCTGTGTCTCTGTGTCACAGATGCGCACTCAGAGTGCCAGGCATTGCAGGTGACACTGGCCAGGACAGCTTGGCATTTTGTGGAGGGCGGGCACAAAGACGGAGGCACCCGCGTTCATGGCTATGGCCGGGCGTCCCTGGAGTCATCCCTGGCCTGGGAAGAGCTGCTTTCCCAGGTCCTTCAGTTCTGGGCCTGAGTTCCGTCAGCTCTTCCCACCCCACTGCCTGGGAGCGGCCTGGCGGGATGAGGCCACCAGGCTGTCCAGGCCCCCGCGGTGAGATCACGGCCCGGCCGCACTGGGCCGACGGGGTGTGAGCCCAGACTTGGCTCCGGCTCAGAGACCGGGGAAGGAGAGTTGAGAGCGGGGGTGGGATTTGTGCTTTAAGGTGTGTTGTGGACAACGTCCTGGGAGTCCAGGTGGCCGTCTGGGCTCCTCGTCCCGGGGCTTCGGGCACGTGTCCTCTGGCCTGGTGGCTGAGGGTGCGGAGCAGGTTCTCGGGAGCCAGCTGCTGCGGGCGCCGTCTCAGGAGAGGCTTGAGCCCAAAGAGGAGTGGCCGTGCTGCACCCACGTCCCTGGCCGGCCCCCACCTCCCATCGGGCACCTTTTCCACTCATCCGCCATGCTAGCCCAAGGAATTTGACTGGACTTTTGTCTTAGTTCACCTGCTTCTCCCTGCAAGGGTTGTTCACAGCCCAGACTCGCTGGGAGAATCCCGACCTGGGGCCTCCTCCTACCCTGAGCCTTGCTGTCGGTCAGGGTGTCACACTGCCGCCATCGTGGGTCTTGATGGCTGCGGTTGTCGGCAGTTTCGCCCTGTGACTGACTTTCCGATTTGGTGGTTGTGTGGGCCACACCGAGCCTGGTGTGTACGTGGGGCTGCCACGGTGGCTCTTGGGTCAGCCCCACATAGGTGCCCCTGCCCAGGGCGGCTCCCACCCTGGCCTGCCCACTGAGCCCTCAGGGTGCTCTTTGTGGTAGAACCTTCTTTGAGTTCGGGTCACCGAACAGAACGTGTGGGCTTCCTGGGGGTTCTTTACATTTTTCCAAGAAGGAGTAGATTTTAACTGGCTTGGGAAATACCAAAACGGAGTCTCGCTGTGATTGAAGCAGCGCTCAGAGGACTTCACTTCCCCTACTGCTGGGTCAGGCCTTCGTTGAGTTATGGTCAGCCACTCCGGATCTGGGAATAAAGTTGTGTTGTGAACCTTTGTCACCGTGTGCCAGGCACGGTGCGTTGAGTTTCGGTTCACCTGACAACGGGTATGACCGAGACGAGCTGTTGGCTGCCTCCTGAAGGGGCTGGGTGAGGCAGAGGAGAGGCTTGCTCCGATGATATGGGAAGGAGGTGGCAGAGCCGGGGTTCGGACTCTGGTGCCCCTGCCGCCATGGCAGATAATGAGAAGTTCCCGTGGGGTTGCTAGGGAGGAAGGGAAGCCTACAAAGGTCATCTCTGACTAAGCAAGAGAAGCCAGAGGACCGTTGGGGTAGGTGGTCCAAGCAGCCAGGCACTCGTGTGGCTTAGCCTTTGGTCTGTACTGTCTGGCATTTGATCGGTGTGTGCCCGCTGGATGAACACCCAGGCAAACCACACAGGGCTGGGGACGAGGCCTCTGGCAGGCGGGTGCTTAGGGAAAGCAGCACGCCTGGCACCCTCCTGGGACTGGGGCCAGGAACCAAGTGAAGCTCCGTAGAGTGGTGCATGCTGGGGGTTGCGGTCTATCCTGAGGAGCGAGGCCATGGAAACTGGTTTGGTCATTACAGATCTTGCCTTTATTGGGAGAGGGAGACCCCGAGATGGCGTCTTAGTGTAAGTAATAGGTACTGCTGAGTAGGGGTTTTCTGAACCCAAGTCTCCATGCCTGGTCTCCAGGTCCCCAGGCTGGTGGTCACGAAGCTTGTCTCGTTACTGCCACTACTGCTGTGTTGTGATTTCTTTCTTTTTTAAAAAAAGAGTTATTTAATTTTTTATCATTATTTTTTAGAGAGTTTTGTTTTTGTTTTTGTATTTGTTTGTTTGTTTTTTTTGCTATAGGGCATGTGTACCCGCCAGAGAGACAGAGAGACAGAAAGTGAGAAATCACTCCCCTGAGGGGATGGCCTTGCCGCAGTCCTATCTCCTCCATTCTCCTGTCAGGATTTAGGCATGCACACACATGCACCTGGCATGTGTTTAAACTACTGGGTCCAGGACTTGAACCGTGGTCAACATGGGAACCCAGTGATATAACCATTATGCCATCTGCTGGTCCCTTATTATTATTTTTTAATTTGATGTAAGAGAGAGAGAGAGACAGACACAGAGACAGAGAGAGAGACAGAGAGAGAGAGAGAATGAGAACCCAAGCCACTGGGTCCAGGACTCACACCACGGTTGGCCATGTGGGAGTCTGGTGCCTCTACCACCATGCCACCTGCTGGCCCCAGACAGTCCTTCTGTTCCCATGCTGGGATTTGAATCCAGGCTGCCTGGGTGAAAACCAGGAATCCTAACCACTAGGCCATATGGGAACTGCCGCTGCCATGACTTCTAACTGCAGCTTCTATGTACTGAGTGGTGACCAGACACCAGCCACGTGGGAGCAGCTTCCCGTGCGTGAGCTCGCTACAGCTCCCCAGTCATCCTGGAACCAGGGTGGTCCTCACTCCTCGTGCAAGGTCTCACGGGCGCTAAGTGCAGAGCTGGGGCTGGAGCCAGGTCTGTCTGCACTGTCACCCTTGTCTGCTGCCCTCCCCCTGCAGACGGTCCTGTGTTTGGCGTGGAAGGCGAGCTCAGTGGGGTCTTTGCCAGGAAGCTTCAGGTTTCCTTGGGGAGACGGAACCAGCACACACACAACTCTCACACATCGTAGGACATCATTATAACAAGATACATGTCGTTAAGCCGCTGGTGCCAATGCCCAGACGCCAGACTCTTGGTTGAAGGAGAAGGGCTGGCAGCTTTCCTTCACAGCTTCCCGTGGAGGAGGGTGGCCGGGCTGGAGGTGGGGTCTCACGGGGAAGGTTCTAGGCCTGGGAGACACGAGATCAAGGTTGCCATCTTGGCTCTGCCTGCGTCGTTCTGTGTGGGGAGCCTGGGCGTCTGGGTGACCCCGGTGTGAGTTTTAGCTCTTTGTTTCCCGAAGGCTGAGAGTGGAGAGGGACCCTGCAGTTCAGCGTCCTGGTCCCACACGTGCTTGCTAAATGTGCGCAACGCCCGTGTGTCGGGATGCCGCGGCTGCAGCAGGGAGCCAGGCGGAGGTTCCTGGTGTGGACCGCAGGCCCCAGGACCACAGTGCGTGATGACGTGCTAATGGAACGGGAGAGCTGTGGGCTTCTCCTGGAGGAGGCGGGGCTGCGCGATCTTGCAGGCTGGATGAGGTAAGAGTGATTATTACTAAAAATTACCCACATCGGGAGAGCATTTGAAGAGGTTTTGCTTCCCAGATCTTATCTGACCATTGTACCCACTCTGCCCTAAGCAGAGATGAAGAGACATTCTGGGTAAGGACACCCCAGTTCTTGTGTGGGCAGAGGAGGGGAGTTCACCTGGGTAGAGAGATGTTTAAGGTCAGGGTCTCCAGAAGAAGACCTCGAGACAGGAGTGGGTGCTGAGTGAGGGTTTGTCTGCAAGTTCTTTCCTAGGAAACGTTCCCATGGAGACTCCCAGAGCTGAGGGAGAGACAACCAGGCGAGGGGCCAGTCCAGGTGGAGGGCGCATGGTGGGCTCTCACCTGGCCTGAGAGAGCTCTGGGCCATCTCAGAGCCATCTCCCTGGAGATGGGCTGCTTCTGTAAGGACAGTCCCTGGGTCCCAGCAGCCCAAGGGCACCCCCACCCCCCACCAAAGGCAGAGCCCTGGATACTGGGGAGAGGCCAAGGACCCCGAGTGGAGGGCTCACGGGAAGCCAGCAGTAGGGGGCGTGTCAGGGATCAGCATACAGCATGGACCAGGTACAGCCCTGACTTGCCGGAAAAATCTAGAGCTGATGTAGGGAGGAATCGAGGTTCTTTCACAGACAGCGGAGACACGAAACCTTTAGAAGACACAACCCATTAGCTAAAAAGGACCCGTGTAAGTAGAAGCTTTCAGTATTATTGATTATGGACACAGATTTGGCTCATGCATTTAAAAATCAATATGCTGACAATAAGCAAACAAGTCTTTTTTATTGTAGTAATAAACCCTTTAAACAAATTTTTCGATGTACATGCTGTATTACTGACTACAGACCCAATGTTGTACAGCAAATCTTTAAGACTTATTTACCCTGCATACAAGCAAATAATATTTTGAAAATGAAATATCCTTTTATCCTATTGTAAACATATATATTATTGGAAGAGAATAAAAATTCCAGAAACATCTATAGATATTAGGGTATTAAGTACAAGGGAAAAGGATAACTTCAAGTAAATGGAAAGAATGAATTCTGAACAAATTGGGACAATG